GGACGCTTTTTCTTTCGTTAAGGTTCAGTTGTGTGTTTTGCAAGCATTAAACTGTACAAGCTTGTTGTTGGGGACATCCGCAATGACGCTATGCGATAAAGAAGAGAACTCGTCAATTACGACGGATATCTTGCAGCCAGAGAGAAAGTCAGCCTCCCATCTTCAGAGCTTCTATGAAAGCTCATAAGACTGGATAAGTCTACTCCATAATTGCATGATGATGAGTGAAATGTGCCTAATATGTGCATAGAATTACCGGGGTTGGAGGTGTATAAATACAGCAACCTCAAAAAATTGAGATATCCCCTACCTACCCCTAACCCCCAAATTTCAAGTCCTACAAAAGTGTTTCTGAAATTGATCAGCGTCTTCTGAAATGTTAAAAAACCAAGTTTGACAGATTTTTTTCTGTTTTAGTCTTTTTCTCTGCCGCCACTGGAGCGATTTTCAAAATCTACAAAGCTTTTACGTCCTTGCAATTGTAGTAAAATTGTGTAAAAATTCGAAATGAGTGACATGATGTTTCGTGATGTACATGTCTTATCACTTCCAAAAACATACTGTCTCAGTTTCGAAAATTTTCGCGATTACAATACTTCCCCGCCAGTAGGCATGGGAAGTAAAAGGAAGTGAGGCATTAGAGGAATGCACTACATACCAAGAGGTGTATTTTTGAGATTTAAACGAGAAAATTGAATATGGTCTATATCTCAAACTTAGGAAAACATACGATTTGTATAAGATGGGCACCTAATTCCCATATTAAAACAAAAAATACTTCATACTCGTATATCACATTAATAAAAACCTTTTCGTTTGGCCTCGGTCACAATTTGCGATCGAGATGCAAATTCGACTAATAAAAAATAAGGATTTGCTCGAAATATGGATCAAACCTAAAACAATAGATTGATATAACATTAATTTATTTCTGAGCATTTTAGTGAAAATAGTATAACTACTTACCTCAGAGATAATTTAAAAAAGGTCTATTTTTAACAATCCATCAACATGTCCATTGCGGTTAGCTACAAAAACATATTTTTTCTCTTTATAGGCTTATATGAAATCCGTCAAACTAGATCATGATTTTAGTCCTTGCTGTACAAAATTCTGCTAAATAAATTATTTGAAAACAAATAAAATTACAGAAATCTTATTCAACAAATATCGAGTAAATATTCAATCTACTTTATCTTGTAAAAACACTCTTTCCAACTATTTTTATGGTCAACACCAATACGCGGTTAGAGAATATACATTCTATATTGTAATCCCGAAAAATTTCGAAAATGTGATATCTTTTTTGAATGTTATGACATATACATAACGAAAAACCTTGTCACTCATTTCCGTCGGTCTGTCTGACTGCCGGTCTGTCCGCTAATATTATAACCGCCTATAACTCGGATTTTGATGAAATTTTTACACAATGTTGCTACTGTGCCAAGGATGAAAACGCTTTCGATTTTGAAAATCTGTAACGTGGCGGCGGAGAGAAAGGTCAAACACCAGAAAAATAAAAATCGCTTGAACTTTGCCCTTTTTACGTTAAAGGCTCCGTTTTCGAAAGAAAATTTGTAAGGGTTGAAAATTGGGGATTGGGAAAGACGTTCTATCATTAAGAAGCTTCTGATCGCGGCAACAACCTGCAAATTAAATGACTATAACGGGCTTATAATTGGAAATAACTTTTAATCGGCGTTGCGTGCACGACGCGATAGTGTAACGCTGCATCGTGGTGGAGGCCACTGCCAACTGTAGTAAGTGCAATAAATAGGTAACTAACTTGAACTCGATGTCAACAGGGACACCCCCCTACACCGCTGCAGGACAATATTTACATATCTTAGAAATATACTAAGTGACATATAAATCCGAACACCCAGTTTAAATGGTTTTATTTTAATAAAAGTTGGTGAATGTATTTATCTTACTGTAAATAACAAGTGAAAAAATTTTCAGCCTTATCAGTTGGACATTCCGGTTTTTATACTGCTTTTTTTAATTCACTAACGCTCTAAAAATGAATATTTCAGCCGCAGTAAAGAATCAACATTGGCGGATTTTGGTTCTTGACACCCTTTACGATCGGTTACGATGCCTAGAGTACGGAGACCTGTACGATTTCATCAACTTAGTGAGTTTGATAGGGGCCGTGTAGTGGGGCTTCGGGAAGCTGGACTTTCTTTTCTGGCAATTACAGTTAGAGTGCAAAGTAGTGTAGACACTGTAGTTAGGTGTTGTCAGGCATGGCTTCGAGAAGGCCGTACGCAAAGAGCAAGGGGCACTGGACGCCGGCGTAGAACAACAGACCGTGAAGATCGCCGCCTAAGATTATTGGCCTTAAGGGACCGTTTCTCCACTACCAGGTCCATTGCAAATGAATGGTTTGCAGAACACGGAAGACCTATTGGCATGCGAAGTGTTTACCGACGAATGAGAAGTTTTGGCTTGTTTTCATACCGGCTACCGGCCACACTGGGTCCTCCCCTTAACTCGAGAACACCGACGTAATTGCCTTGAGTGGTGCAGACAACGGTCACTCTGGGATCAGGAATGGAACAGTATTGTCTTTAGTGACGAGTCTCGATTTTGTTTAGGCATGCACGATGGTCGTGCCAGGGTTAGAAGGCGACATGGTGAAAGGAGGAATCCACAGTTTTTTGTTGAAAGACATGTTCATCACACTGTTGGAGTTATGGTTTGGGGTGCTTATGGTTCCAGGTCACCTTTAATCTTCATCAGAGGTATCATGAACGCGCAGCGTTATATCCACGAAGTTCTAGAACCCCATCTTTTACCCTATCTTGACACCCTGGCAGATCCAACTTTCCAACAAGATAATGCCCGACCACATGTTGCAAGAGTCACAATAGACTTCTTTCAACATAATGATGTCACATTGTTGCCATGGCCACCAAGATCTCCCGACTTATCCCCAATTGAGCACGTGTGGGATATGCTGGGTAGGAGATTGCTCAATTTGCAACGTCCTCCTCAGACTCTAGAAGCACTTCGAAAGGAGTTGGTGGTTGCCTGGAATGAGATACCACAGGAGGACATTGACCACCTGATCAGAAGCATGCCTAGGCTCGTTGGAGAATGCGTAGCACATCAGGGTGCATCCACACATTATCAAAGGTCAAAGGGCTTTAAAGCAGTGCAATCATTTTGAAATTTTTATCATTTACTTATTATGCGTCATTAAGTACTTATACAAAATTTTATTAAAATAAAACCATTTAAACTGGGTGTTCGGATTACTACACTTAGTATATTTCGGTATTAGGAGTATGTACCACTTTAGCGCTCTGCGATGCTTTTATAAATGATGCCTTAATTGTTTTTATATCCAGACATATTTGTCTGTATTTTATGTACCTTGCCATTTCGCCTAACCTTTAATTTGTGTTACTCATCATATGATGGTTCTCTGAAAAGTTTGTCAAGTAAATTGACTCAGTGCGTATTAAGCAATGATGTACAACATATACGAAATTACAAACAGACATGAAAGAAACATGAGCATGCATGATATAGACATTTTTAAGCAACAGAAGACTTGTGAACTGAACTTCTAATATTTTCGCGAGTTCAATACTTACTCACATCGTTGAGGTTTAGGTAGTCGAAAATTTTGAAAAAATCGATTCAGTGGCTGTGGAACTACGAAAAAAAAAAACGCTGGAACATCGTGTTACAACGTTTCAGAGATTCCTGCACATTTTCATGCATTGTTTGGAGGGGTAGAATATTGTAGGTCACAAGCTGTATACGGTAAATGGTTGTAAATTGTTGCATGTTTGGTGTCACTGAAAGATCGTCTATTATTAACACGCTGCTGATCTCGGTAATATTATGCGACTGTTAAACATAACTAGTCACGCATTTTTTTCCTACATCTGCCACGGAAACAGAAATATGCTTATATAGTTTGATATGTAGAGGTAGAGATTCATTGTGAAGCTACTGGGCCACGATTAGATTCTACCTTTTGAAATGTCTTGTCCAATCCCTTTTCTTTGAAATCTCCAACAAAGACGTAGAAAGTATAGAGTTTTTTTATTTTTCTCCAGGTCGCAAATTTTATATCCGAGGTCAGGTGAAAAAAAAAGAAGGTTTTTGCAGCTCATCCAGGTTTATGGAGTATTTCTTGATTTAGGGCCGTATCGTACAATTGTAAGACGCCTTTATGGCCTGCTTGATTTTATAGTCTTTTCTCTCCTTCAGAAAGGCGGGGGTATCTCCAGATTGCTACTGTTCCGTGTCAGCGTCACCGCCCTCCCATTGTGAAGCTATCTTTTCTTTTTAATTTGTAGGAAATTTCAGGCTGATATAACAGATGATATAAATCAAAAGCATGAACAATTTTATGCAATTACATAGGTATTTGTAACATAAACATTAGAAAACTATGAAAATCAAGGAGTTTATGGCCTCCTGGCGCACTACAATTGTAGGAACGACGGACGAAATGTCAAAATTAGGGCCCATGTTACACAAATTGAGCACATTCTGTGGGTCAAAGTAAAATCGTGACATAAAAAGATTTACAATTTTTTAAAAATCTTTTCTGTAACATGTTTCATATGATGACTTATTTGGGCTTGACATTTGGAAATACGGTTTTTCGATTTTTGACAAAAGCGTTAGTCACAGAAAATTAAATATTTTTCACAACGATTTAAAGAAAATAAAAAAGTCCTATGCAGTAACCTTCTTTATTATCATATTTCTAAATTTCTGCCTGGTTACCTTAAATTGGGCTAAAAAATGGAATATATATCAATCCGATATGCGATATTATAAGATAGCGGGTTTCCCATAGGTACTTCCGTTTGATGTAACTGATCATGCCCAATCAACCGATTTGCTTTTGTGAATATAATGACCTTGTTTTTAAATAATATTTCTCAAACGGTTGCGAGAAACTTAAGTAATTTCAACTTATCTAGCTAACTTCGATAGCCTAATATCCGAAAGAGTTCCACACTTACCTTATAGCTATACCTGTCAGGAAATGATTTACCGCACCGTTTGCATTTGAGCGGTTTGTCCGACGTATGTAATTTTTGAACATGTATTCTCAAATCTGTTTTGCGTCCACATGTGGTTGGACATAGTGCACACTGGAAAACTGGCTTATCTCCAACTAAAACGATAATAAGTTAATGTAATATATAACAATCAGCATGTCCCCTATATATAGTAATTTTATAGTTTTCAGTCTAAGAAAATAGTTTCCCAATAAAAATGATGCGTTTCAAAGTAAACAAAAAGACTGCAGCCCGCCGCATAAAGCCATAAATATACTTCTATATGCAAGATATTTATGAAAGGGTAAAAGTAACTGTCATCATGTAAATTGGCTACCATTATCTTAGGAATGAAACAAACACATAGCATTATGTTAACATAACATTTGTCTAATATCAACCTCCTGAGCTGATATACATTCATGCTCGTTTTACGGCAATATGAATTTCTTCAAAATATCTGGATCCAAATTGACGATTTCTTCATCAATATTGGCTGTCAAGTCTTGTATTCTCTATTGCGGATGACCAAATATTTTAAGATGGAAAAAATCTGATGCCGCATCTGGTGGTCTGTAGCCATAATCCAAACTATCATGAAATTGGCACAAATGTGTATCAAGTCAGGATGTGGATATATGACCGATATTTTTTCTACTTAATGACATCAGTTTTACACATTGATAGCCAACATGCATTATGACATGCCCAAGTTTGTATTTATGACAATTGTGTTTAAAACATTAAGGCGAGGTTTGCAGGATATTAAAGTTACAAGAAATTCTCTTTTAAACTAGCTTATATTGATTGCGAGTGAGTGATTTTTTCAACTACATGAAAATAGAAGTTATTTGTACAACCGTAGATACCTAGCTGATTAGCTTTTAGGGCCTTACGTGGGAGATTATACGACTTGGATTTGGTACCAAAAGATAATTATTGTCAGTTTAGAGGGCCATCGAACACGCCGGGAAGTGGTTTCGGTTAATTTTGCTGATTTTTTTATTTTATGCATCTTGCCGCCTTAACATCTCAATGGGCACACGCCCCCAAACTCAACCGATTTCAAGGTATAGGCCGTGTAAGTCGGTATAATGGATATTCGTCCTAGCACTACTCAGCTATCTTTTATGAGGAAGAATGGTTTCGGTTATTTCGCCGAATTGTTTATGAACTTTATGTATCGACGCGACGTCCTGAACAAATGACTCATTGGGCCACAAACTAAAAACTCAACGAGTCTCAAAATCGACTGTCAAGTCAGTATGATGGGGTATCGGTTCTACTAAGCCATATGCTCTAATTGGAAGAGTGGTTTCAGTTAATATGACTGAATTTGTGAAATGTTTTGTATCTCAGAATCCTCAACAAATCTCTTAAAGGCACACATCCAAAAACTTGAAGGGTCCCAAGATGTAGACCGTCTATGCCAGTATAATGAGATATCGGCTCCAGCTATCTGCTCTATCTGGAGAAGATAGAATGGTTAATTTGATTGAATTTGTGAAAGGTTTTGTATCTCGGCGTCATGAACAAATGCCTCAATGAGCACAAGACCAAAGCTCAACAGGCCCCAAGATATGGGCCGCCTAAGTCGGTATAATGAGATATCAGTTCTACTCAGGTGTGGTTCCGGTTTTCGGAATTTATATACTTATTTAGTAATGTACATACAGCAGGGGTGCCAGCGGCCCAAAGCATGAATTTGAGTGAGAAAAGTGAATTTAAAAAAAAACTAGTGAGAAATAGTGAGTTTGTACATAAAAAAGTGAGTTAATTTTCTGATAAATTGAATATCCTAATGCCAAATTTAAACGGATAAATAAGAGTGTGTGAAAAAAACGAAAATAACTCGTAAAAGGTCTTTGTTACTCTTTTATTGACGTAAGAGATAAATCATTATTTATATAATAATTATATAATAATATATTCAATTCTTTTACAAATACATATTTTTTGTAAGGTGAGGTACTAAAAATTTGAAATTAAAGAATCAAAATGGCGCAGTGTTACCTTAAGGTATTTTTCAACTCAGCCATAAAATAAAATTACAAACATGAATAAGAATAGTGTAGCAAAATAATGAATACATGAGATTTGTAAATAATTGCCTAATAATGTTTAAATCTATACAAGTATATATGTTTAAATTTTAACTCATTTAATATATCATGATGTTTATATGATATGACTCGAAAAATCATAGTCAGTTTTATTCTTGTTAAATTTTTGAAAATTGATCTCATTATTATCATCAGGTAGAGGAGGTGGATAGAAGCATTGTGTTAATTTTTTACTGAAATTTATTAGACTGTAATTAAGATACTATTGGCTGCAATTTACGAAAAACTTTTCTTGTGTAACGATGTAGAATGGTGGGGTATAACTAGGGATTGACTATTTCTTGTTGCTACGTTGTTAACATTTTCAAATTTTTGTAGCTTATTGAGAAGGTTCTCTAGTTTCTTATTCATTAACGTCTTATGGTCTAAAAATGTGTGAATGATGGATTCTAACATTTTCTAAATTCGATTTTCCGTTTTCCTTATAAACATGACTGATATGGTCGTATTTTCTAATGCCAAGACAGTAACGGAAACAAGAATTTTGGAGTCGCTGCAGCTTGATCTCATCACTTTGCAATAAAGCGGGTCCATATACTGCGTCACAATAAGATATCCTTGAAATGATTAGTGAATCACACAGCTGTAATTTTAATTTACAATTTAGTAAATGTCTTCGAGGATAATAATTGTTTGAGGATACCATGAGATTTTGAACATAACTTCTTTATACGATTGTCAAATTTTAGTTCATTATCCAACCATAAACCCAGATTTTTGCTTACAGTTACAACTGGTAAAGGAATGTTGTTAATGTTGAGCCGATATAAATTTTCACTTTCTATTATGATTCGTTTCTGTCTTGGTCCAAAAATCATAACTTTTGATTTAGAAGCATTCAGTGTTAAATTATGAGCAGCCGAAATGTGATATACATGGTATTTAGATCATTGTTGATCAAATTAAAGGAAAAAGATGCATCATTGATATGAAAACCATAATATAATTGTGTGTCGTTTGCATAGTGATGAACATTGCAGTACTTTATATTGTTAGAAAAGTCTGAAATATAAAGAGAGAATAGTAAAGGACTAAGAATTGAGCCTTGAGGTACTCCCATTGTTATGGGGGATTTATTGGAATCGTTCAAATAAATACATATTGGTATCTTTCTATCAGAAAACTTTTTATGAGTTGCACAGCGGGACAGCTGAAGCCAAAGTATTTTAATTTAGTGAAAAGTATACCATGGTCAATGGTATCGAAAGCCTATCAAGTAACACTAAACAAAAAATTTTGCTGTTGTCGACTGAAAACATTAAATCATCGACTAAGCAAGCTAAAGCTGTTATAGTATCATAAGATTTGCGGAAGCCGGATTGAATGTGGTAAAATAGATTTATTTGTAACATATTCCGAAATTTGTTGTTCCATTATCTTTTCTAGGACTTTTGATAATATTGGTAAAATACTGATTGGTCACAAGTCAGAGAATTGATTCGGACTAGATATTTTAGGTATAGGTATTACTTTAATTTTCCACATATCTGGAAATACACACGAAGTAAGACAGCAATTTATTATATAGTATGTGATATGATTTAGTAAGCGGTTCTCTAATAACAGTAGCATTTTCCGTGTTAAAGTGTCTTGGCTAGCTGCCTCTGTTTTGATATCTTTGATACACGTAGATATTTCAGCTGTAGTTACTGAAAGAAATTCAAATGATTCATCAGGGTTATTAAGAGGCCCAAAAGATTATATTCATATAATAAATTTACCTGAAATTGAGTTTTGTCTACTTTAGGGAGGTTCGAGAAGTATGTGTTGATTTCATCGGGCTTATTCAAATATTGCAGAAAAGCGTTTTTTTATGTCACCTGTTTGACGCAATCGATGCCAGGTCAATTTGGTATCCTTTTGCCTAAGCGAATAATCTATAAATGCTTTTTTTCTCACGATGCATAGCATTTTTCGTGCAGTTCCTCAATTCTTTGTAATAGGCCCAATGTGTTGGTTGACTAGTTCTTTTAAATTTGTTAAAAGCTTTGTCCCTTAATTTCGTTAGGAGCTTGATGTTATTGGTTATCCATGGTGGATTGGTTTTGGTTACCCTATATTCATGGATAGGACAACAAATATCATATACATGAACCAATTCTTTAGTTAAAAAGCCACCATGTTGTTAACGTCACTAAAAGTAAAAATTTTATCCCAATCAATAGTTGTTAGTACCTAACCAAAAAACCCAAAATCAAAATTCTTCCATACACGACTTCTATTTTGGGGAAGATGAAGGAGGTATTTTCTTTATCAAAGGTACAAGAGACTAGATGATGATCGAAATTTCCATGTAAATGAATGACTTCTTGATGAATGAAGTTCACAGTTTTACTCAATATGACCAAGTCTGATAGTGTTTGAGTCGTAGATGTGATTCTCGTTGGAGTATCTATAATTTGCTTTAAATTGTAAGATTCCAACAGATCTGAAAGGATATCTATAATGTGTCCTTGTGAGAAAAGGTCAATATTGAAGTCGCCGGATAAAAGATTTCATCGCATTCTGGTACTTTGATCCACCCTCCCAATTTGATAATTTGATAATCATTATGTTGTTTGAGTTGATAGTGCTGTAAAGCCAAGTTCCACTGGCGCCAAATATGTCAGAATTAGAATCCAAAATATATTTTTTTACTGATTCGAATCCTGAGGTAAGTGATCTGACATATTCAAATGTGCAAATAACATCCGAAATCAATTAATATTTTGAATTTTGCAGTTAGAGTGCAAAGAAGTGTAGACATTGTGGTTAGGTGTTGTCAGGCATGGCTTCGAGAAGGCCGTACGCAAAGAGCAAGAGGCACTGGACGCCGCCGTAGAACAACAGACCGTGAAGATCGCTGCCTAAGATTATTGGCCTTAAGGGACCGTTTCTCCACTACCAGGTCCATTGCAAATGAATGGTTTGCAGAACACGGAAGACCTATTGGCATGCGAAGTGTTTACCGATGAATGAGAAGTTTTGGCTTGTTTTCATACCAACCACACTGGGTCCTCCCTTTAACTCGAGAACACCGACG